TCATCAGGAAATATATATGCACATTTTTTTTTTTAAATCTGTATTACCCCATGCAAGGCCGTACAGTCACTAAGAAAACCAGGGTTACAGTGTGGAGGAATTAGAAACATTAATAATGAGTGAAAGGAGAAAAGAGTAATCAGGAAGACCGTAGATAGTGATTGGCATTGCATTTAAATTTTTGCACATTGAAGTTGGCTGGAACATGTGAAGCTGAAAGGGAGTTCCATGTTCAATAGAAGAAACTGTTAAAATAGAATTTACGGTTATTCTAGCCAGCTCAACTGTAAATTGATGAAACCTCAACGCCAGTCTTGTTGGAATTTTTGGGTACCTTTTTAGTACTAGTGAGCTAGCCAAAATGAGCTGACTCATTTTATAGTCCACCAAGAGAAGGGTTAACCAATCAGAAAGCTCAAAATACTCAATCCGACATGTATGAAGGCAGCCATTTTGTATTTTCTCCCAAAATATCTTCACTGCCAACCTGATATCGAAGACTTAAAGAATTAACAGCTGCTACTTTCTCCGAATCTTCACTGCCAACCTCTGATATTGAAGACATTACAGACTTCACTGGATTCCATATTCAGAGACTACAGCAAACATGGTCAACAAGTCTAGCTAGGACTGCACTTAAATTCAAAAAGTCTAGATACCATAGCAAAAAGATCATCTGAAAAATTACCATGAAAGGCACAGAAAGGCAACCTTACAGTGGTGGGAAAATGATTGAGGCTGATCTGCTAGATCAGGACTAATAATATTACTGATTGTTCTTTGGATCTTATCAAGGAGCTCAAGGTAAATGGCAGAGGCACTATAACATATATGACAGCAATATTTTATGGACAAATAGTAGACTTACAGATATGTAAGACAGATTCTGGAGAGAAAAATTGTCTCACACAACACAGTGAACCAACTTTCCTAGCTGCTGATCTATCAATGGATTCAATATAGTCTTTCCACTTCATGTCATGTTGAGAGAGAGGCAGTTAGCATATAGATATTTGGTTGTATGTGTTTTTAGTGCTCAAGAAATGCAGTTCAAAAGCTCTTTGCAATTTGTGAATTTGGTCTTAAATTGTGAAGAAATATTAATTTTCATTTTTTAATTATATTTTAATCTAGTTCAATGACAGAAAAGTAAATCTTCGACTCATCTGAGTTTCTTTCAAACTTGGTCTCAATGGGAATTCAACAAATCCTTGTCTTCTTTCTCTGTCTATGTGTCTGCTATGCTGACTGCTAGCCTCTCACACTCTGTCTGACTTCTCCACTTTTCTCCTGCTCCATGATACCATGCCTGTGTGAATGAGATAACCATAAAAAAGAACTCTCCCTTCATGTCTTCATTCTTCTTTTAAAAGCACCACCCTTACCCACAATTCCTCACTGTTGGTGTGATGACTTACCTCAGAGCTCGAAACATGTGCGAACGTGTCTTGCTTGCATGGTAAAATTATTATCTTCTGTCTTCTTAATTCTTGTTCTTTTATCATTTTTCTCCTTAATAATGTTTTCCTTTTTCTCATATTCTCTCATACTCAGTAACCCCCTTATACCTTAGTGGATTTATTGCCTTGCTTAGGGTGAAATTATTAAGGAGAAAAAACAATAAAAGAACAAGAATTAAGAAGACAGAAGATAATAATTTTACCATGCAAGCAAGACACGTTCGCACACGTTTCGAGCTCCGAGGCAAGTCATCACAGTTGGTCTGGTTGTGGTCACAACCACCAATATTTAATCCCTTACCCTACACCTTCTCCATTTTTTTCAGTTCACCTCAACTCTCTGTTTCCAGTAGGTAAGTTTTTTTGTTTATTCTAAATTGCACAAATAAAGTTAGAAGCCTGCAAGTTTTTCAAAAACTAAAGATTCCTCATATTTTTTTTTTTTACTAATGTTCACCCAATACAAGGCCCAAGAGCCACTCAAGGTAGAGGGTTACTGTGTGATGTTCAATTAGTATAAGAGCAACAAGTGAAGTTCTTGGGACTATGTAGGAAAAATAACAGCTAACTCTAGATTTGAAGAGATCAAGATTTAATTGGTGAATAACATTTCAGAGTTCAGAGATATTAGCAGGATAAAATAGAATCAGGCTTTAGAAGGAACTGGAAACCCAATTCTGAACCAGACAATAAGTGAACCTTATTGGAAGAGAAGCACTAATTTTGTTTTTTTTTGTTTTTTTTTCTTTTTTTCTTTTCATCTTATTGGCAAAGAAGAAAAAAAATAATCAGCAAATGAAATTTCTGAGTTTATTCAGAGACATTAGAAGTATAGAGTTGAAGGAGACTTTAGAAGGAACAGGAAATCCAATACTAAACAGGAAGCAATGGATAAACCTCTATTCCTATACAAAAAACCAGGAAGGAGTGTGATCCAGATGGTAGATGAACTTATCTACTCCTGTTGGGAAAGGAAAACAAAATAATTAGTGAATAAAATTTCAAAAGCATTTGGATATTGAAAGATAAAAAAAAATGTCTCAGGTTTTCAGTTGTGAAAGCTGAGAATAATTTTCAGACTTGGAAGAGAGAATTTTTCTCAAGATAAACAAACAATTGAGATTGAGAAAGATTTGAAATAGAAATTATATTGATTTATTGGTTTCAGCCCAAAAGATATATTTGGGCAATATATCAATACTAAAAAAGAAAACAAATGAATTCTTCCAATTATAGTAATTGTTGCTGTAATGATTAATTGGCAAATATGCAATAGTTTCGTTATCTCACTTTTTGTATTTTTTTTTGTTGGGGGAGGAAACTCATAACCTGTCATTCATCTTATGTTGTTACTCTATTGTGTATTCTGCCAATCTCCACCTATTTTTATATAATGAACTCCAAATTATTGCATATATGATGATGTTATGGTGTACACAGAAACCCTTTTCAAAGTTGTTTTGTGTCTTCAAAAGAGAAATATCAACAAATGAATGTTGGCAGTTTTTATTGTGCCAAGAACACAATAATCAAAAAATATACACAAAAGTAAATTGTTTATAAAAGAATAAGGGAAACTATTCTGTCACTTTCAATCCTAAATGAAATTTTCTATTTACTTACAGGTTTCCTGAAGTTTTTACCTTATGGAATCTTTGGTCCGTCATTGACCTTCAGACATATAAAAAAATATCAATAATAATTATACTTAATTTAACGGTAAAAATTCCATTGCCTTTTCCTTCATGACTATTTCTTGATAAAATTAATTTTAGCTTTACATTTTTTTTATTTATTTTTCTATTTGTATTCATGTACTAGACATGTTTGTTTAAATAATAACGAGAAAAACTTCATAAGTAATATAGTAATGATAATATTAGCCATTTCCCAATAAGGAAACATTTGGTATTCATTGATCAAGCAACCTGTACTGTTTTCAGTTGAAATTTACAAGATCTTTCTCATAAAACACTTTTTAGGAAAATCGGTTTCTCAAGTCCAGGAACCGTTACCTTTCTTTCCTGCACCAATGGGAATCTCCTTCCGAAACTTCTATTTAATGTAGTGTAGAATATTAACATCTTGATTATGTTATTATTTTCTCTTCAAGTTTCAAGTGCTATCCATTTTAGTTGTTGCTGCTTTTGGTAGTCCTCAAATTATGTGGTTTCTGTTATTTGGTACAGTTCTTTGTTTATGATTCTTTAGTGCCAGTCCACAATTTTCAAAGAAGGTTGATCTTTGCCAAGACCCTCAGGCTTCACTTGCTCAAAGCCTTTTTTCAACATTGATCTTAGAAAGCGGTTGTATACAGATGATAGATTAGATATTTAAAAGTAATGCACCCTTTTATTGAATTGGTTGAAGGAATATTTCATGAACAATAGCAGTGGCACTGATATTTTTTTTCATTATTGTTCCCCCGAGACAAGGCTCAAGAGCAACTCAAGGTAAATAATTAAAAAATGAGGATGTACAGGGAGAGAATTAGTGGTGCATATTATGAGAATATGCAGTATAGATAACGATTTACCCTTCAATAGAAGTAGCTAAGATTGAAGTGATCAGGGAAGCTTCATATTGAGAGCCCATTCCATAATTATGGGGAAGAAGCTGAGTGTAACTCTCTCCTCAGCAATGGAATATGAAGGAAATGAGGATAGGTTGACTCAGTATTTGTAGTATGGCTGGTCCAAGCTGTGAAGGCCTGGGGTGGTAGAACCAAGGAATGTAGCTTGCTGTAGTAATAGAGTAGAAAGAGTGTGGCAAAATTTAGCCTGTAGGGTGGAAGACAATTCGTCACCTACAAAGCTCCACAAATGCTTTGGAACTCGATCAAGGGTGGAAAGTGAGGATTGGGTGGTTCTGGTCCAGATATGGCAGCAATATTCCAATTTTGGTCGGCTCTGGCTTTTGCAAAGATAGTGCATGGTAGCAGAAGTCAGGTACCTTCTAAAATGGTAGAGGGAGCCATCCATTTTTCCAGCATCTTAAAGTTATGGTTCTTATATTTGAGTTCCACTGGCTGGTGTGAGCTTGTATCCCGATAGATATTCTTGGCAAGGAGCCACATTGAGAGTACAACCATTTATCATGATTGGAGAAAACTCTATTCTCTGATGATGAAACATTACTAGTTTGGTTTTGGAGGTAATGTTCAAACTAATTTCTCCCCCAATGAGCTGTACGAGCTTGGACCAAGATGAGAGAGCCTGGGGGGTAGGCTATGCCTGCATTGATCTCTTGTGTGTCAAAGAACTAGATATTAACAAAAACCTTCATGGACTTACTCTATAGGAAGGACTTGGTAATTAAGAAGACTCTCCCAGAAATCCTATAGCTGGTGAGTTCACTATCACATTTTTGGAGAAATCTAGTGTTCATTTTCAGGCGTTTTAACTATTGTAATTATTTTAACTATGTAACTATTTAACTAATGTAATTCATAATTACTAAACTTCTGCAATTTTTGTTGGTTAGTATTCATTAATTTTCTTAATTCTTTAACTTTTTGGCTAGTTCTTTATGCTCTGAGACTACGGTCAAATAAGACTAAAAACACTGGTTCTTGTTCAATCACTAAGGTTAAGCAGCATTGAGCCTGGTCAGTACTTAGATGGGTGACCAATTTGGAACACCAGGTACTGTAAGCAACCTGCTACTATTTGAAATAGGTTTTAGTTTAAGGTGAATAAGACATAAAATTTCTTATACTCTGAAAAACCAATTCCATTAATTTTCACTACATACAAATACTGCAATACATATTAGAGAAATATTATTTAAATAAGAATTTTAAAGATTTGTCTTTGTTGACATCAGGATCAGACCTCCAATTCCTAAAAAAAATGAGGAAATAATTCTAACTCCAGCTCATTTTTGCCCCTGTTTTAGTGTTGTTGATTTTGATGAAATATTAAATAATCTGCACACAAAATATACTGAGTGTTACCTAAATATGTTTTGTTTTGTCCATTTCTTCTTGTTGAAGGAGTGCTAAAGAGAAGGGCATATTTCATTGAATTTTGTAGCAAATGTTGGTATGTTTTATGAAGAAGGAGGATGCACAGGTAATGTAATGGATAGTGGCTTGGAATGAGAAATTGGAGAACCAAGTTTGAATTCCAGTTGGGTTTGTTGCTTTCACTGATGTGCAAATACCTTTGGGAAAGGTATGAATCGAGTTCCTTCCCCCAGATATGGATTAAGTAATAGGTCTTGTATCTAGAAAAATTTGTTCTTCTAAAAAAAACGTAATTAATATTTATTTGCAAATGGAAAAACAATTATTATTCTTACAATCCAAAATATATTTCAGCTTCAAATAACTGACAAAGGGTTGGTAAGCGGTAAAAAAAGAAAGAAAATAATACAAATTAATAAATCATAAACGCAGTCATTCACAGCACATGTCCAAATAGAAAATGAAATACCTGAAAAAATTCACTATAGCAAAGAAAACAGCGACTTACCTCATCAAACCAAGTGACAGCATGTTGTGTGTATCCTACGATGGAAAATGTGGTAAAAAAGAAAATTACATACCAAAAAAAATGCACGTATTCTGCATGACATGCTGAAGATGGAATATTTAAATTAGAAACAAGTGCGTTGCAGGAGTCACTATAAAATGATATGCAAAAATTGAGTGTCCTCTCCCAGTTGTTGACAAATGAAAAAATGCTCAACTGATAAAAGCAGTTGGTGTTCTCGAGTCAGGGGAAGAATGTAAAATTTGCGTATTTTGGCTACCGTGTTTGTTGGAGAGTGAGTTATTTTTCTGACTGGTTACATGCATTGTGACTTGTGAGATAATACCTGTGAATCAAGTTTTCAACATTTTTTTCTGCCCCTGACAAATATTTCCTTTGCAATCCCAAAACGCTTATATTCACCTAATTCACATCATTGTATTTTAAATAATGTTAATTTTTGCTCATGGACTGAAGATTCTCTTCTACCAATAACATCATACTAAGTGCCATTTGATCTGTGCCTCAAATTCTACAGTAAAGTTCAGAGAAGCTAATTCAGTCTCAGGTTAAGATATTTGAAGCCTTTTTGTGAGTAATATTATATTTCATGATTGTAAAACCACTATAAATAATCTTTTCAATTATATATTAAACTAACTGGAGCACACACAAACTTGTCCAGGTGTACAAATATCAACCATAAATAAGAATGTTTCATTAAGATGGATCAAAGTCAGCAGTAAATAAATCAGTGTTATTTGTAAAAATTTATTTATTTCTCTATTGGATCATATTATTTAAGTCATGGCAATTATGTGTGAAAAATAATATTACCCAAATGTCTGCAAAAATCTGAAAGAAAAAATCATTAGACGCTTAAACTTAATTCACATTAAAATCAGTCCAAGTTATTGGAACACCTTTTGCACTATGGTTAGTTTCAATTGTATAAAAAAAGTATACCATCAATATTCACTTGATCCTTAAATGTTATCCTATCAGAATTGTTACATGGAAGCAATTCAATTTGATTTGTATGAAAATATAAAATTTATCTTTTTCATGTTAATGAAAAGCATAAAGCCTCTATTTTAAAAACTTAAAATGTTCAAATTACAAAGCAGACTTTTTCTGTTTTAATTTTTTGGATGCAATGTTATCATTATTCACATTATTTATATTGTTTTCTTCTTTTAAAAGAGCATAAAAGCTGGTGAACTGGAAGTTGATCATAATTGGACTATAAAGGCCTAAGGAGTTCTTTTGTTACAGTGGGTTAGGATAGCATTCCATAAAGAGAAGAGTTGTAATTGATGTCAGGCATGCAAATCCATATTGGATCAATATCAATTGTGGAGGAGTATAATGTTGTAAGACCCAAAATCCCGAATGATCCACCGATAAAAACATTACTTATGTGTGTCGAACATCTGTGAGATGTATTTCACAAAGACATGCAGACTATTATCCTCATTTTTTTTTGTTATTCTCACAGTATTTTGATTGTTATGCCCTCTGGCCTTTATTGGGTGCTTGTTGATCTGGGTAACTGTTGCAGATTTGAATCAACACACAACAAAGAAAAAGGCAAAAAAGTTGTTTAAATATAAAAATATAAAACATTTTTATTTTCATGTTTTTAGAACTAAATTTTTCTTAACATGCATGTGTGTTAAAGTTCTTATAGTCCTTGTTTGTAGTTGTTTAAGCTGACAAGAAGTGTGGTTGAAAGTTTGTCACATAGTTTGGTGAGGGAGAAAGACAATTTTCTTTTAAACCTAGTGACATGAAACTGTTGCCATTTGTATCTACTTACTCCTGGTTTATCCATCTAGAAACTTTGCTTAAATACTCTTCAAAGGGCTCACAAATAATTTTTTTTTTTACTGTTGGTGGGAGCACAACCTGTTGGGTGAAAAATGTTAAATATCTATTTTTAAAGCATTAAAATCTGAAAGAATTTTGTCATTTGGTGTTTGACTGTCTTGCTGTTTATTTCTGCCTTCATTCCACATAACTTTCAGTGAATTTCATGGGTTGATTCCTCTCATTCTGCTGACCATGTCTAGGGATATCTGATTTATTGCTACACAGTTATTGTTTGCCCTGTTTCCATTGAGTTTAATTATGCACTGCCCAACTCAGGGATTGAACTCCTAATTATTATGTCACCAAATTAATAACCTCTAGGTTATTGTCCTGTGGGATAATCTTGAGTGGAAAACTTGGTGCCTTAAACCTAACCTGTCTGCTGATGAGTGCTGCTGCTACTTGTCATGACTGACTGCACTTACCAAGGCTTTTCTTTTTTACTTGCTGATGTTGTACAAAGCAATCAGTTAAATGACTCATATATCTAGGTCTTACTCCACTTACAATATTGACACTCACATAAAAACTGCCATTTTTTTTTACTTAGTGAAAAACAGCACAGTTTGTACATGGTATGAAATACAATTATCTCTTGCTTTTATAGGTCACCACTTTGTTCACTTCCTGTATTATGTTCCTCTTTGCTGAATCATGTTTGGTTAACTTCATTGCTTCCTGCCTTGCTTCAGAAACAAGGCAATTAGATAACTTTCATTTTCCTGCTTCAGTGAGACTCATTTGTGTATGTATCTTAGGTGATTAGCTCATTACTGATTTCAGGAACCTGTTATTTTGAGTTCATTAATGGTTTATAGACCATTCCGCTCTTCGTTGATTAATTCCAGATCATTAAATATGAGAGGGTGTTGTACTGAAAAGTTCTGTCTGACCAAGAAACTGCCATATCTTTCAGGTCATATGTGATCATGGCTCTCCACAATATCCTATCCTTTGTAGTTCTTAGCATTGTTTTTTTTTTTTATTATACTCCTGATCCCTGTTCTGCCATCAATTTACAAAAGCTCATTAGGTAAGTTACTTGCTGCTTTCCTCTGTCCTTCATACATGTAAGTGTCAGATTTTCCAGGCCTTTATTTCTCTTTTCTCTTTTTTCTTCTTGTTTCCATTGTCATTAAAACTTCCTCATTGCTTACATGTTCCATCTATGGTATTAGCATTCTTTTGTAGAACCACATTTCTGTTGCCACAAATCCCTTTTGCCCTGTGAGTAAATTGTTCAGTATTCACTGGCATATTGGAGGAATGATATCACAGTATGTTTTTCTTTGTTTCTAATAACATTTTCTTCTTTCTGAATGCTTTGTTGAGTTTTTGGAAGGCATTTTTTTTGCTATTCCAATGTACCTTGAGATTTCAGTATCATCATTTGTTAAAATAGTTTAAATTTCTGTACATGTTTGACATTTCCATTTTTATAGCTAACATCTTGAGCTTTTTCTCTTGCTGAGAAGCATAGATTCTGTCTTTTTACATGTGATAGTCTTTTTTTCCTGCTTTCCTTTAGTACCTTGTCAAGGAGGTTCTGTAGTTTTTATTGTGTCTGCCAATAATGCAGTGTCATCTGCATATCTTATATTGCTAAAATTGTGCTCACTAATAATAAATCCTGGTAGGATCTCCAACCCCTTTAGAAGAGCCTTACTTTGAAGGTTGTTATTGTTTACAATGATGTTCACCTTGTACAAGGCCCAGGAGCCATTCGGGGTAGAGGGTTACAGAGTAAGAGGAACAGTTTATACAGATATGTGGGGAAGATAATGGTTAACCATAAACTTGAACAAGTTAAAATTTTAGTTATCAGTGAAGCATCCTCTTGGGAGTTCCACAAAGCAGCAGTTCTTGGGAAGAAGCTGCTTGAGTAGTACTTATTGGTGAGAAGACACACTCTTGTTTTACAGCCGTTTTCCTATTTTTCCATAATTGCTCAATTCATGTTCTATCCATATGCTGGCAGTTTGCTCCCAGTATAAGTTCTGGATTATTCTAACATTCTTCCTAAATAAATCAAGCTTACCTAACAGTTCAAACAGATCCTAGTGCCCTACTTTATCAAATACTTTTGTATAATCTATATCTATAAAAGGTAGGATGTGTGTGTGTGTGTGTGTGTGTGTGTAATGAATGCACGGCCAAAATTTTTGACAGATTTGCACCAAAATTTACATGCACATGCTCCAAGTTAGTGGGAAGGCCAAGACTGACATTGCATTTCCCAACTCCCATTGATAGTGGAAATAATCGATTTTTTTCATGCCTCTACAGCAGTTTTCATGTAGTTTGCGG